CTATCTATCTATCTATCTATCTATCTATCTATCTATCTATCTATCTATCTATCTATCTATCTATCCATCCATCCATCCATCCATCCATCCATCCATCCATCCATCCATCATCTAGTTTTATTGCTTTTAACCTTGTAAGCTGTCCAGAGATGCTTTGTAAAGAAATGAGTGGAATGAATGAATGAGTAAATAAATAAATAACTGTCATGATTGGTTATCTTAACTTACTGCTTTTATATTTGGGTAAGGAATGAAAGTTATAGGCCCATTTTCTCAGCTTATTGGAGTTGGCAAATTCCAGAGTGCTTTAAATACAACGCATTAAAATGTGCACATTGTCAAGAGGCATGGCCAAAATGGCCCTCATTTCTCTGCCGAGAATTCTCCCAAGACAATAAGCGTGCAGTAACAGCTTCTGAATCTTGATCGCACAAAGACAAGGGTTTGAGGGTGAGGGTTTTTTGTTTTTTTTGTGGTCCACAACCAGCTGCTTTATTTGACAGCCTGGCCCGAATCTTAAAAGACAGCAAATGCCTTCTCTGAACAATTTGTCACAAGCACAAATTGCAATTTGGCATGCCATCACAAACCTTCCGAGTTTGGACAAAGCAGAGGTGTGCCAAGCTGGCACTTGTGATGAATGATTCAGAAGATCCACATGCTGGGAGCATGATGAAGTGACAGGCTGAAGAGAGAGATCAACTTTTGGCTCCGTTAATCTTGAGAATCAGTTCTTATTTTGTGTGTTTCTGATTAAGGAAGGCAGGCGGGGGTCACATCTCCTGGTTTGGTGGCTGGCCTCAGGCCAGGAGAGCATTCCCTACCCTCTGGGAAAACATGTGAAGGGCAGATATGCATCTACTCCCGAACATAATCAGTTCTGGCACATGCATGAAGATAACCATCTCCCCTTCGCCTGTTAGGTGACCCTCCAAAAGGATCAGTGGTATAAAAATGCCCAGGGAGCCAACTGTTTTGAAAAGGTTCACCTGAGCTTCTGGCCCTCAACTCCCCAAGGTCCTGCCTTGGCTAAGATCCTGATGACCCTCAGAATGCAAACTAGAAAGTTGGAGTAATAGAATCAAAAGGTGGAATTTGGTGGAGTTACACCTCATGGAGTCCTTGAGCTTATTTAACAGAATAACGGGATTGTGAGGGACTTCAGAGGTCTTCTAATCCAACCCCCTACATGGGACGCGGTGGCTCAGTGGCTAAGGTGCTGAACTTGTTGATCAGAAAGGTCGGCAGTTTGGCGGTTCGAATCCCTAGTGCTGTGTAATGGAGTGAGCTCCCGTTACTTCTCCCAGCTTCGGCCAACCTAGCAGTTCGAAAGCACGTAAAAAACGCAAGTAGAAAAATAGGGACCATTTTGGTGGGAAGGGAACAGTGCTCCGTGTTCCTTTGGCGTTGAGTCATGCTGGCTACATGACCACGGAGACGTCTTCGGACAATGCTGGCTCTTCAGCTTTGTAACAGAGAGGAGCACCGCCCCCTAGATCCAAAAACAACTAGCATGTATGTGCGAGGGGAACCTTTACCTTTAATCCAACCCCTGGTCAAGCAGGAGTTCTGGACAAATGGCCATCCCGTCTCTTAAGCACTCTAGTGATGACGCACCCACAACGTCTGAAGGCAAAGCCCTTCCACTGATTAATTGTTCTACCTTTCTAAACTAGGTTTCTCTTTTCCAAGTGAAACGTTTGCTGAGACCCTGGCAAAGCAAACAGCATCCAGTGGAGCGTCCCAATGTTCTGACCTAGGCTTCCTTAGAAGGCATAAAACACAATCTTAATTCCAGCAAAACCTCTTTTATTTCCACGGCTGTGAATTGTGTTCATTCACAGCCTGCAAGTCTTCCCAAAACAGCCTTTCAGGGGAATGTTGATCAACACCCAACCTTATCGCACTTGGAATGCTGCCAGAGATCTAATTGCCAAACGCAGGGCAAGGCCAAACTTGACACAGAGTCAAACAGAACTTTTCAAAGCTTGAATCGACCGGACGAACGAATTGCTTCCTGCAAAAGCCCACGTCCCCTTCGCTCCTCTTTTATGTCCCATGGGAGGGACCAATCATCTCCGAGGTGTGTCAACCCTGCTTTCTCCATTGTTCTTGCCTTCTGGGAGTGCATGGGCAGGATGGGAACCGGTTTCAGAAACTCCCCTGCCTCACTGCTGTCTGAGTCTGAAGGCAGCTGATGACTGCTAGCCTATCCTGGCCCCATCCCTGACTCCGATGCAGAGCCCTCGTCCGAGCCCTCCCCAGCCTCCAAGACTGGGCCAGGTTCCTCCCCAACCTCTTCCCTACTGTCCGACTCTGCTGCCAACTCTGTCAGCCACCAGCTGGCCACAACACCCGGCTACAATACATAGTTCTTCTCCCCGCCCTGCATCTCTTACTATTCAGTGCTCAGAGACCTGGGACGGAAGGCAGGTAGATCAGCCAAGTCATTCTCAGCTGTCCTCCTCTTCTCCTGCTTCTGTTTAACTGACAACCGGTGTGTGAACTTAGAGAGGCTGCTCTCAGACCTGGGGAAGGAGGGGGAGGGGGAAGGAGAGATGTTAACTCCATCAAAGCATCAGGAACACCAGAAGGCAGGACAAAAAGCCCAGAGGTCAAAGGGCTCTGATGTTCAGGCAAAAGAAAGGAGGTAGAACAAGCGGTAGAGAAATCAACCAATTGTGATAGCTTCTGTCCATCACAATATACAGGGTGGACAACAGATTAACAGGGTTGCTAGAACCGTCAACAGGGATCAGAACACACAAAGTAAACCGCACCAAACTTGATTGCAGGAAATACGACTTCAGCAATAGAGTGGTCAATGTCTGGAATACTCTACCCGACTCTGTAGTCTCTTCCCCAAACCCCAAAAACTTTAACCTTAGACTGTCTACTATTGACCTCACCCCTTTCCTAAGAGGTCTGTAGGGGGCGTGCATAAGCGCACCAACGTGCCTACCGTCCCTGTCCTATTGTTTCTCTTATTCTTTTATTTTTCTTATATGTACCCATTTCATGTATTCACAACTATGTATACACTTATACTTATTATCTTGTAAACAATTGGCAAATCAAATAAATAAATAAATAAATAAGTTTTTGCTCCGGCATTGGAATGAAATAAGAGTCATAATAAATAGGGGTTGTTGTTGTTTTTTTGTAATGCTGATCAGGAGAAGTCATCCCCAAAGGTGACTTAAAGCTGTATTAATGACCGAGGAAGATTACAAGAAAACTAGAGAAGTTATGTTTATTTTGGATTAAATAATCAGGCAAGGGAGAGAAAAAAAACCCAGCAAAAAAAGCAGCAATTGACACAAAATCAATGCCAAAGACTGGAAAAGAGAATAAGATTTTATTTGTTTTTGTTTTTTTTTGCTTCCTCCACCCTCTGAAATCAAAGGAAACATAAGGATTTGTAAAAGGGGCATTTAGGAATGGCATGGAATTCAGACACTAAAAAGCCGCTGGTTGTTTAGCCCGCTACTTTTTTGCGAAAACTTGCAGCTCAGCTCCTACCCATCATGAACCTTTCAGATCTTCCGCCTGTTAGGTCCCGACGATATTACAATATTACAATATTAGCTGCCAATTCATCACGCAACACTACGGATGGAGAAACCGATGTTCTGACCCAAGCCTCATTCAAAGGAAACAAACACCAAACAGAGATAAAAGCAAAACCTTTTTAATGCTTCTCTGTGAATTCTGTTCATTCACAGTAAAATGCTATTAAAAACGAATTGTCCCAGATAAGAACGAGCCTTGCCAGGGTTGTGCAAGGCTGCCAAGAACACTAGATTAAATTGCAAGGAAATATTCAAAACCGAAAGTCTCCTAACACAAACCAAGATAGTCTGAACTTCCACAAGACTTGAAGTGCGAGAACTTCTTTGCTTCCTGCAAAGAACTGTGGTTTCTCAGGCTGGCTTTTATCTCTTAAGGGAGGGGCCATTACCTTGCAGCCTTACTCTTGAGTCACCCGTGCTGTTGCAGCTGCTCTTTCCTTTGAGCAGCCCTGAGCGCACGCGCACTGGGCACAGGCTCCTCGGGCACCTCTTCATCACTGCTGCCAGCCTCCACAAACTCCGAAGGCAGCACTCCACTCCCTGATAGTCCTGGCCCCATCCCTGTATCACACGCAGGCCCCTCGTCTGAGTCCTCGCTCTCCGAGGCCTCAGCCATCCGCACCTGCTGCCGGCGAACCACAACAACCAATCAATCAAGCATCCTCGTTTGTTTAAAAGGAACAGCACCATTTCTAAGGTAATCTTTGAGTTCCAAGCGGTTGTGGAAGAGATGGAGAACTCACTGGAGGAATTGAAAATGTTGTCTAAGGCAGCAGCCTCCAACCTTTGGGGGACCAGGGACCACTTCCACAGAGAGAGATTTTCCCATCGACCGGAGAGGGTGTGGTTTTGTTTGCTGCCTGCATCCCATAGATGGGGCTTCACTTGTTTGCACGACCGATTTTTGGCATGCTGCAGCCCGGTTGCCCATCCATGGACTGGGGATTGGGGACCTCTGCTCTAGTGGATTTGAAGGATGGTCACCTACAAGAATAACATTCATTTATCATGGAATAAACTGATAAAGATTGAGCCGGCAGTTTGATGCAAAGGCCAGTGACTTTGTTATTGTAGCTTGCTTTTGTTAGGCTGTCCCTGTGGAGCAAGACATGCCCTGGAATTCTTGCAATGTCATCTCATGTTTATTTGCTTTTGAAAACAAGCTTCTCTTTCTCAACATTTGCACAGGGAGGGGAAAAAAAAAACCCTGCATGATTTAAACCTTTGGCATACCGGCGGATATTGTGGATACTGTCACCTCTCTGAACCCAGCTTCTAATGCACAGAAAGGTTCTGAGATGTGGTAGGTAGGAAATTATCCACACTCTGCACCTTACTTCACTGGAACTACCTCAAGTAGGGATCATCTATCTTCCCAGAAGAATGAGGATTCAAAAAGTCACACAGAAGCCGGGCGAGGGTCTACGAGAAGCAGGCGGGACAAAGATTGAGACAATGGGAAACTCCAGAGCTCCTCTAGAAAATTCTAGAGCAACTTGTAGACCATTCTAGAGCAGGGGTCACCAACTTTGCCAACTTTAAGGCTTGTGGACTTAAACTCACTTCCATCAGCTTTGCTGGGTGAGGAACTCTGTGAGTTGAAGTCCACAAGTCTTAAAGTTGGCAAGGTTGGAGATCCCTGTTCTAGAGCACATCAGAAAAATAAGAATGAAATATCAACCCTGGCTTCTCGGAAAACATTTTACTTTTTCCTACCAGTCAGTTTGTGAAACTACTCAAGCGTAGAACTTCTACCACAGCTGAGAACTTCTGATCTCTTCCTGTTACTATCCAGAAATTTACAACAGTGTGGAAGGTAATTCCCGAAGGCTGAATCCTTGAAAGACACATGTCGCAGGAATCATGGTGTTTTTGATGAGCCTGACTGTTATTATCTTGGGTAATGCCATGAATTCATCTTTATGGTCATGATAGGTCACAGATAGAAGATCTTGGAACAAGAGCATACATTTCTGCTTTGCAGTGGAAAGAATTCCATGACAAAATTGCCTTGCGGTGATCTATTTTTCAGTGGTCTACAGGTCTTTAGGGCATCAAATTTTAACTTATTGTGTGGTGATTGCTTAGTTTCCCTAGTGATGTCTTCTCTCCACAGTGACGGAGAGAAATTTGCTTGGTTCATATCTTCATATAAATAGCCTACAACGTGCCCTCTAACTGCATTTCACGTTTGAATGATTATGCCAAGAGAAACAGAGATACCCTTCTATATTACTTCTCCGAATTTGGCGATGAAAATGTATAAAAATAATATATTGGGGTGAGGAAAGCACAGAACACACACCAAGAATGCAAAAGTTGGACACCACTTTAAAACATATGTCACCTTATGAAACATGGCTTGCACAAATGATAATAATTTAAACTGACCACAGCTAGGTAACTTAAATTGCCCCGACACTGATTATTATTTTTTACTGCTATGTTCAGCCCCAGATTACTAAGTTTTATCCTCCAAAGGTGAAGGAGAAAGTGGAGAAAACAACTTTGGAAAAATGAAGTGACTAGGGACATCTCCAGGAAAAAAAAAGAAAAAAAAGCATTTGCTAGATCTCTCCCGTTTTCATTCGACTCAACTGGTCCTATTCCTAATTCCGATATCTTTATAGCAGCTCAACTGTCTGTATTTACTCTGGTTCCTCTAAGCTTGTTAACTGATTGTCAAAATGGTCATTTCAGGGTTATAATGATGGACGATATTGATCAAATATAGCAACCAGCAGATGAAAAAAAAAAATCCAGGGGGGGGGGGGGGGGGAAACGCATTTAAAGGAGGGGTGGGCAATTAATTTTCCCCAAGGGGCCACCTGAAAACCTGGAACTATTAGGGAGGGACAAGCTACAGGTAGTTCTTGACTTACAACAGTTCATTTAGTGACCATTCAAAGTTGCCATGGCACTGAAAATTAATGACATGACCATTTTCCACACTTATGACCGTTGCAGCATCCCCCGGGATCATGTGACATTCTGACAAGCACAATCAACGGGGAAGCCAGGTTCACTGAACAATGGTCTGACTAAGTTAACAACTGCAGTGATTCACTTAATAACTGTGGCAGGAAAGGTCGTAAAATGGGGCACAGCTCACTTAGCACCTTTCTCACTCGGCAACATAAATTCTGGGCTCAACTGTGGTCGTAAATTGAGGACTAGCTGTCATTAGACCATCGGATTACTACGAAAGCACATAGGCACACGTGCAGGCATATCCCATTACTCGAAAACCATGGTTGTCTTCAAAATAAAAACAATACAGTCGTATTGCATGCATTGAGCCGCGGTGGCACAGTGGTTAGAGTGCGGTACTGCAGGCTACTTCTGCTGACTGCAATTTGGCAGTTTGAATATCACCAGGCGCAAAGTTGATTCGGCTTTCCCTCCTTCCGAGGTACGTAAAAGGAGGACCCAGATTGCCTATAAGGCTATGAAAATACCATCAATATGAGCCTTCATCTTCAAAATAAAAACAGTATAGTTGTATGGCATGCATTGAGTTCGAATCCCACCAGGCTCAAGGTTGACTCCGACTTATCCATCCTTCTGAGGTGCGTAAAAGGAGGACCCAGATTGTTGGGGGCAAATAGGCTGACTCTGTAAACCACTTAGAGAGGGCTGTAAAAACACTGTGGAGTGGTATATAAGTCTAAGGGCTATTGCTGATTAGCTGTGATGGGACCGTGGTTAGAGTGCAGTACTGCAGGCTACTTCTGCTGCCTGCCTGCAATTTGGCAGTTCGAATCTCACCAGGCTCAAAGTTGACTCAGCCTTCCCTCCTTGTGAGGTGGGTAAAATGAGGACCCAGATTGTTGGGGGAAAATAGGCTGACTCTGTAAACAGCTTAGACAGGGCTGTAAAAGCCCTGTGAAGCGGTACATAAGTCTAAGGGCTAGTGATATTTTCCTTCCTTCCTTCCTTCCTTCCTTCCTTCCTTC